TGTCAACTGTCCAGAGAAAGTGGTAGGCCCTCATCACAGTTTTACCTTACATTAAGATTTTAAAGTAGGGGTTTATGAGGTACTCATCCATCAATTGGCTGTTTATTGGCAATCATTTGGCAATATATATTGTGCTATGCTCTATTTTTAAAGCCACCACACTCAAAATGTGTAATTTTACCTTGCAGAACAAGGTCTGCTGCTTTACCACTGATTCGCTCGGATAGCTGGTTTTTGTTATTGTGTGACTTTAGTGGATCTGAACTAACAATTTAAAACACCAACTACTGATGATAGATCAGCAACTCTCGTGTTCTCCAACGTTAAATTACTGTTTTTGCCTAAGAAGTCTGGTGGCTTTGGAGGGAGCATAGATAGTGGCTTCAGTTCTCCGTCAGGCACGTGAAAGTGATGAAAATGTTCAAATTTGTTAAAGGTGGGCCTTTTTTTTGAGGCTCAAATACATGTTGAGGCTTTACCTGTCTACAGCAGTACATTCTTCAACTTTTGTGCAGGTACTCCTGTCTGTTTCCCTAAACTTTTTCCTGTAAGTAATACGCTGGCTATGGATAAGTACCTCTTACAACCCCACTAAGAACACCTCCAAATGATCCATCTGAGTCCTGTACTATCTGCTGTTGTCTTCCTTATGGCAGATCATCTGCTTAGACCTTTCGGAAGAGATGGCTTTGTCAAAGTTGGAGTCTTTTAATGGGTAAGCTACAGCAAAATAAACATTTATTCTTCAGAGCTTATTTTTCATTTGTCATCACCCCCTAATGTGACTTCCTTTCCCTTTAGGTCTAAAATAAATGCCCTGAACATATCCCAGAAGATGATAGAGATGTTTGTCAGAACTAAACACAAGATTGACAAACGCCATGAGTTTGCTCTGGTAGTGGTCAATGATGACGCTCTGTGGGTGAGTTCTGGTTTTAATCTGCTTCAAATATAACATACACTTCTCTGGAACATTGTCTTCTGTTTTCTGATGTGATGTACTTGTGTATGTGCTTCAGCTGTCGGGCTTCACCTCGGACCCCAGAGAGCTGTGCAGCTGTCTGTACGACCTTGACACCAATGTGTGCGAGACCTTCAGTATCCTTTTATTCAAAACTCAATTCAAACTCTTAAACAATTCAAATAAATGTGAAACTATAACGCAATAGCATTTCAAATAGATTCCAGTTCTTAATTTTAACCTTAACTGTCCTCTGTAGACCTTGAGGATCTTCTTAATGTAATGTAAGTTCTTTCTGACTATAAACCTTTTTGGTTTCCTTCAAAATAAATTAAACTTTACATAGAAGTGTTAACTGAGGTTCATTTCTTCTTCTGTTGTCCTTTTAGACGTCAGAAGATCGAATTGCCGTCGATGGACAATGTTCAGACCGTCCCTCCGCCGTACGTGGTGCGGACTGTGCTCATCTACAGTCGCCATGCAGGACAGCTGCAGTTCAACCCATCGGAGGTGGTAAATGTGAGTATAACACTCTTTGAGATATCCGGACTAAATTTGAGTAAAATTGTTGCTTTTTATAGTGAATTTGACAATATCTTCTGTCTCTTGTTTTCTTGATGGTTGCATTTATTTTACATTTAAAGCCTTGCTTGTTCTTGTGTCCTACCACAGAAAATGCTGCAGTCTCCATATTTTTTCTTTGATGTGGTTTACCTCCACAACGGGGTGGACGAGCAGGGGGATGAGACCAGCTGGAGGGTGAGTGAAGAAACGGATGAAAAGACAATTATCCATTTAGCTTTAAACCAGAACATAAGTCGTAGTTTGGCTCAGGTTTGTTTGTCAAGGTCATTTTACTTTTTACAGCCAAATATCACAAATCGCAAAGAGTGGGACTCTTTGTCGTTAACATTATCTTAAAATTAATTTAATGTTTTTTTTGCAATATTAAACATGAACCCACAATGCACTGACTGGACTTTTCTGGGGAACACAAAACCGGTTGAGAGGAAACTTAAAAATAGATCAAAGAGTAAAGTAAAAAAAATCCCACCATGACCCATTCAGGGACTCCGTTCATTCCTGTTTTTTTAAAATGAATTAATTCAGATACTTCTGTCCATCTTACTCCGTCTGAACAGTGTGGAGCGATCAGAGCCCTCCTTAGACCAACCTAAATATGACAGATTTTCCCTTGATGATGTAATTGGGACATTTCCCCTATGTGCTGCATTTCAACGGTGTGGTATTTTTTAAATGTTTTGTCTCCAGGACAACTACACCTCTTTCTGCAACCTGGACTCAAAGGGAATGTGCTATCGCTTCGAGGTTTCCCTGACTGGACCGGCCATCGAGCTGCACAACTGCATGGCCAAACTCCTGGCCCACCCTCTACAAAGACCTTTCCAGAGCCACGCGTCTTACAGCTTGCTGGAGGGGGAAGACCCCCAGGACATTGAGGCAACGGTCTAAAACGGGACACACTAACGCCCTGTTTCTCTGTAAAATTCACACACTGTAGTTGATAACAATTGGGTATCTTTTCTTTAAGTCCAATCATTACTGAGGTAACTCCATTAGCTGCTGTAGAAAAATGATTAGTAAGAATATTTGGGAAGCCAGGTGAATTTCTAGAGAAACAAGAGGGTGTCAGCAGTTACTGGAAACACAATCATTGTGTTTCCATAGAAGAATTAATGAGTCATTAATTGTTTTAAGCTGGGGAAGTAACAACATCATCCGGTTGTTAGCTGTTGAAGTTAGCTGTTGAAGTTAGCTGTTGAAGTTAGCTGTTGAAGGGCTGGAGGTCTCCTAGGTGACAGGATGAAATACATGTCAGAGAGTCCAGGAGCAGGACACAAGTAGAAGGACAAAATACAAAAAATAATTAAAAATTAAGATGGTTTAATCATCAGGCTTTGTTAAACTCTCTCCCTTACCATTTGTTTTTTCTTTTTAGTCTCAGACCACACTGATCTGTCTGTAAGTCTTAAAGAGTGAAATCAGTGCGAGCCTGTGACAGTTCTTCATAGCTGGACCTTTGGGACGAACTGTAACATGATGTACTGTATCACAGAGGTCACAACTTCTGTAACATTGCCTTCCCTTTTTATTTGTTTATTTACACGTTTTGAAGCTTGTCTTAATGTATTTTCTATTTTATACACGGTTGTTTGTAATCTTTAGTTGATTTGTCACTCTTGTATGTCACAAAGAAAATTAGTGAATGTACAGTAATGTTGAAGCAGCTCCTCTGACAGTTATCTCCTTAGCATTGATGGACTGATTAAGAAACAGGCCCCCCATACTGCGCGTCTCGCTGCACTTGAGAACACATTGTACATACATTTTTGAAGCCCCTTTATGGATATTAAAAAAAGGCATAGTTAATCACAAGTCTCATCTTCATGTGCTTTCTGTGTTTTTGTCAGGAGATGGCAGCAAAGTCCCTCCAGAAATCTTGACAAATTCAAAGACCTTCTTCAAAAAGCTGCTACGGTTCTTGAGGGTAGAGAATAGTATTATCATTTTCACAAGTGTCAGTTTTAATACATTTTTTCCTGCTTTAATCAGTGTTTTTCCAGCTTTTTTTATTCATTTGTCTCTGTATAACCTCCAGACATCTCACTGTCAAGCTTCATCATCAGTGTCTAATTTCTGTATCATGGACCTGTATTCATGATTAAGCAGTTTTTGCAGATTATGTTAAAAAAACAAAAAACACTATCTGTTATCAACCTATGGCACTTATATCACTTCAATAGAAGATATATATTTTCCTGTCACCCTAAATGTTTCCGGTCAATTATCTTAAGAGGGGTTTTCATCTCAGTCTTCAACCGTTTGGTTTCCTGTTTTTGTTCAGAAGTTGATCCGAGGCCTGACTCCTGATAGTCACTCATTTTCTGTCACTCTAACATACCTTCATAAATTAGTTGTTTTCCGGTGAGGACAGGTTGTCAGGGAGACAATGGGGAGCAGGAAAACCCCGGGCTCAGAGGACCTTTCCCCTTTCACACACTTCCCCAGAAGAGTTGGCTGTTCCTCACGTCATCACTGCTGAAAACAGCGCGGGGGGGATCCAGTGCATCTGGGCTGCAGGGAGAATTTGTTATTCCCTCATCCCTGAAGAATGACAGGTCCCTATTGTTTTCATTCTTTCACTCCTCCAATGCTATGACTCCTTTCCGTGCCTGGAACAGGATATGGTGGATTTTCTTGGTTATGTTCTGCTTTTACTCCTTACATGGCTTACATTGTTCATCCACCACCAGGGGAAAAATAATTGGGCTTTCTTATTTAAATATTGTGCAGACAGTGGTGGAAAATGACTGCATTTACTCAAGTTACTAACTACATTTCAGGGGGTAACATTGGACTTTTTACTTCACTACAATTATTTGACAGCTAAAGTCACTTCTTAGGTGAAGATTTTACATATAAAACATGATTATCTAAATAAATACAATGCACGGTCAGTAATAAGTAAGTTAAATAAGCTCTTTCTTGACTATAACAAAATAGTTTTGGTTACCTTAAGCACTTTCTACACTAAAAGAACATTTTGCTGAGGGTGAAAAGGTGACAACATGTTGCAATGCAGGACTATTATTTACAGTGGGTCATTTTTACAATGTGATACAATTACTTTTACTTAAGTAAAGGATCTGAATAACTTTTACATTTGTTATGTCCATGTTAGGACAACAATAACATGTCCAGATGCAAAGTTAACACGTATTTGGTTACTGGATGTAAATCCTTTGCTAACTTTTAAGTTAAAAAGGGACAAAAGATAGTCCTCACACTTTCAAATGTTCAGATATTATTGAGAAATCTATCAAACTTTTTGTGGAAAGATTATTTCTACACACAACATGTGTAGAGGGGATCTTTTAAATGTATTAATTCTTCCTGCCACATTAATCTCCTGTTGTCTCAACGACCCGGGATGTGTGATAATTCTGGCAGCGGTGTAGCTGGAGGTTGTTACTGCGACGGAGGGAGGGGAGGGGGGGGAGGCTGGGTCAGGATGGACTGGAAGTGTGTCTCCAGCAGCGTTTATAAACATGGCCCCTTTACACACCTAGGGGTCATTGTTTACATCCATTCATACATGCCATTTCTGCATGTACGTTTCTGTACCCTGGCAGTGTGACAGAGCTATAGAAGACGGACCATCATCCCACATCTGGCTTTCCTTCCAGTTCTGCTCCACAGAGTCCACTTGATGCCTCAGCACCTGATCTGCAAAGATCACATCTGAACGGATACCTTGTGGATTTTTGGCAAAAAAGAGTTCCTATTTAGATCTTTCCAGAACCAGCTTCCACCATTTCTCCTCCAGCCGCCATGTACAGCTCCAACTACTCCCGGGCCAAGTTTGGCCTGGAGGCAAGGCAGCCCCTGCACAAACACAAAGGAAAGAGCTGCGGCTACTACATGAGGATCGTCTTCTTCTTCTCCTCTCTGATCCAGTCCCTCATCATCGTCAGCCTGGTGCTCTTCCTCATCTATGGACAGCCAGAGAAGTCAGCCGAGGAGAAGAGAGTCGAGGTCAGTGATTTCTTCTTGTATATTCACCTCAATTGATTTTGTCAGCTATTAATCATCTCATTTAAAACATGTTTTAAGACAAAAATACAATTCTTAGATTTTAATAATATTTTGACAAACAACTCTTAAATGTATTTTCAAGTTAAGTAACAATGATCAAAACAGTAGGAATAACTAAAAGAGACCTGATGAGGTTTGAAAAATCTGATTAAATCATTTCTGCAGAAGATTTTGATCAAACTGTTAGTGTTTAAGCAGGCAGCTTGAATCATCACTTTCAATGTTTCTGACATTACAATACTTATTATGTTTATAAATATAATATGTTCAGGGCTGTAAATACAGTGATGATGATGCTGAGTGGTCTGATTGGTGTTCTGAAGGACCTGGAGGTGAACTTCAACAGGCTGAGTGAGAACAACATCCAGCTGAGGAAGGAGAAGGGCGAGCTGGGAGTTAAGCTGGGAGCTCGCACCGGAGAGAAAGCTGCTCTGGAGACAGAGCTGGCCAAGCTGAAGACTGACACCAACAAGACAGAGTTTATCCTAAAAGATAAATTAGTAAGTACATGACATGATTGGTGTAATGCTAAGAGAAGCAGGTCGTTTTGTGCAGCTGTTAAAATAGTTTTCAACACATTTTAATCATCCTCAAATAATTCTCCGAACAGATGAAGCTTAAAATAAAGTTACAATGTACAAATTATACAATATAATAATTTCTTTTGGCATTTTCCAGTTATCCTTTTGTTGACATGTGTTGGTGAAAGTATTCAGACCCTTTTTATTGGGAAAGATTACTAATATCAATCTGTAGAAATACTTAATTTGATGTAAATGTTATGCATTGAATGTCATTTGAGTAAAAGTCTTTAAATATAAAATAGGACATGTTACTTAAAATATAAAAAGTAAAAGTTCTCAATGCAAAAAATGTTATATACAATATTATTCCTGCTGTAAATACATATATGTATTTGTATGTATAGGCTACCTGTGAGAGAACGAGTGCATCGACAATCACAAGCATGATGTCACGTCGTATCACCCCTCCGATCCAGACCCCTCCTGTCACTAACAGCGGTATGTAATATATGTACTTCTTCATTTTAATATTTATATTTTGAATATATGTACAATAAAATAAAAGTCCATGTGGTTAATATTAGGCACGATGGTTGGAAGTTTTTTTGTGATATGTTAAATAAGTTAAACGTTAAAATAAACAAATAATGGTACCACTTCCTTATACATTATATGTAATGGCTTGAATAATGGTTTCTCTGGCTTCTAGGGTTAGGAAACATCTCACTGGCGTATTACTTATTAACATTTATGGCAGTTTATTTATGTTTTATTATAAATAATAGCCTCATTCTTATAGACTCAAACAATGTCTCACATCCTGGCAACCCAAACGTTTGTCTTAATTATATCTAATAACTGATTAATTATTATGGGTAACTTAATATTATCACAAGCAAAACGGTCAATGTTGCTAAAAGTATTTTTTTTAAGCTTTCTTGTGATAATACTGTTTTCCACTGAATCCTCCAGGTGAAATGAAGACTCTTCAGACCCTGAACGCCCAGCAGAAAGCCATGATCAACCTGATTGTGGCGAACTTCACCCAGACGGTGCAGTACCTGAGCCTGGAGAGAGACAACGCCCTCAAAGACAGAGACATTCACCACCAGGACGCCATCGCCCTGCGCAGGGGGAACACCATGCTGACGGAGCAGCTCACCACCTACACCAAGTACTGTCTACCCACCATCTGCCCTGTGTGTATCTAAAACAATTAAGAATAAACATGTTAAAGTTTGGATTTCTTTTTTTAACCAGGAAATGCAAGGAGGACTTTGCCCACTCTTTGGACGGGATCAAAACGGTGACCAGAGATTTCCTGACCAAGATCAACAACCTGTTTCCCCACCAGCTGACCTTTCACCTCACCTGCGACAGCCAGCAGGAGCGGATGGAGAAGATCAGGAACAAATGCACTAACCTGTCCAGAGATGTGGAGAATAAGTTCCAGCTGTATTTGGACAATGTGGGCAACAAGGTTAGTGCAACATTTTATAATTCTGTAAGGTGTGATGGCTTGATGTCTAAAATGACAGCTGGGTGTGCCCTTCTTGGTGTATGCTTAAATTCACAACCTCGAGACGAGAAGTAAAGCAGAGAGTAAAGCACTTATAGGAGCTTAGAGGGGTCATAGTGATTCATGAGGTAGAAGAGAAGAAAAAGTCATGCTTCACAAACTCTTATTTCATTTTCAGACTTTCCTAAATTGCCCTTTTTGCTGCTATTCTGTCCTGGCAAAGTTATTTTAATTAAAGCGTCTGATCAGTTTACAGTAAAAATCTTTCAAACCACTGGTCTAATCTTAACAATTAATTGTATGTAAGCTTATCCTTTGTTTTTTTATGTAAGATCTTAAGATCAAAAAATTAACTGGTAATGAGCTGGAGTAAAAAGTAGAAGTATGAAGTATCATGAAATGGTTCTACAAAAAAAATGTCCCTTGAAATTGTAGTCAGTTGTTAGAGGTTGTTCTCACTTCTTGCCAACCTTTCTTTAAACTTTTCCTAAACTGTGATGGAATATTCCAAACAACAAATTGAAAAGGAAACCAGGTTCTCTGGGGAGGAAGTCTCTCCGCTGCGTCATTCGTGATAAATCTACAGCTAAAGAGACACACGTCCTCTGAGGCCAACTCAGGGTCAAAGCCGAGGTGAAGAGAGTGTCTCTGCTGATACAGCAGCACAGTGTGGGACAACTAAATCAGAGCCTCAGCAAATACCTGTTTCATTCTGTGGGGCAGCAGTTCCTTAATGTGCTGTCTCCATCTTTGTCAGAAATCTGGGGGTAATTGTGTTTTTGGAACCTTTTCATTACTTTTTTTCTCCATGTTAACCCAATTCTGAGCCAATTTTATTCTAGTCATGGTTGTTTTTTTTTGGGATGAGAGAGACGCTACATCCCACAGCATTTGGCTACATTTATGGCACATTTTTATTTCCTATTTTTATATAAATATTTACTTTATTTTATGGTTGTGCAACTTTCACTAAACTATGTGCTGTGTCTCTCAGGGCGATTTTGTTCATACTCCATTGTACATAGAAATAGACAAATGGAAAACAAATTATGTAAAGGTACCATCTGGAAATCAGATGAACATATTTAACGTTTTATTAAAAGTACAATTATTTTCTTCTTCCAGGTGGCTGAGATCCAAGCCTTGTCCAGTAGTCTGGAGGTGCAAAACTCACATGCGATCTCTGAACTGGAGCAGTGTAAACTCACTCGTAAAGAGGCGGCCGCGGAGTCAGCCAATCAGGTGCAGCTCAAACAGAAGACTCACGATAACCAGGTACATGATATATCTGTGGTTAGGAATGTGTGTATGCATGTGTGGGTGGAAACAAGGGAGACATCCCCGGAACAAGCTGTTTCACTCTGTATCTGGATATAAAAGTGGGACTGCCATCTTAATGCAAGATCATTAGATAATATTTTATTGAAATATGCTTTTTTTTTTAAGGTGGAGAAGTTACTGATTGAGCAGAACCTGCTGAGGGATCAGAAGAAGCTGCAGGAAGACACTTTGGCCCTGAGAGACAGAGAGCTTCAGAACCTCCAGCGAACGATCTCTGCTCAGCCCAATACCAAGGTAAAGCAAAAACAGAGGACTAGACATTTTTGCTCTCTACAAACACATGTCAGGAAAAGGGGAAGGCAGCTGTGAGGCAATGATTTAGAACCCTCATTCAGTCAGCACAGATTGTTGTGATTATGTAATGCATTAACTTAAGCTGGTTCAAAAGAAGCCGTGTTGTATTCGGCGTTCTGAGTGTATGCAACCCTGTGTTTTCAAATAATATTCACTCCACCTATTACTTGGACAGCAGTGCAGAGATAAGGTCATGTGTGAGAAAAGAATAATCTAAGGGCGGCAGGAAGGATGGGCAGGCAAGATAACAAAGGGAAACTGTTTTCAAGAAGTCATAAGTTCACAAAATGGCCCATTTTTTTCTATGAGTGTGAGGAGTACTTATCCATGCACAGTCAGTAAAAGCTGCACAGATATAAAACAGTGTGTAATGTTAAACTATACTGAGATCATTTGTTTTTCAGGCTGTTGTCCCCAAAGCTTCCATTGGAGCATTTGCTGGCATCAGCAAACCCCCAACTGTAAACTTTATATTAAAATAAATACCATTATTAGATTACTATAATAACATGACTTTACAGTTGGTGTTATCATATTTTGTGTTTTAGTTGACTATACAGATCATGTGATAACATTTAAGCCTAATAATAATTGGATAGTTTACAGAGTTTGATGTGAGGGTGGCGGTAGATGAAAAGTGAAAGTAATTGTGAATATAATTAATCCTTAATTACAGTTGAAGATAATCAAATTCAGTAGTTTTAGTCCTGTATGGTCTACGAACATTTCAATACATTTAGTGGGAGTGTAGTAGTTATTTGGATAATTCAGTCTGGATCCAATTGTTGGATGACAAAAGAAGTTATGATCCCTGCTGCTATGTGGCAAATGTTGCTAAAAATAGCATAAAATAGACAAACTTCAGCTGTAGTTCTCATAGCTTGCACCTTATATTATGTGTTTCTATATGTTTTATAAAGTATTACTGCAAACATCTCTGCATCAACATTTATTTATTTTTCAAAAATCCCCTGCTGCTATTGATATTTAATTCTAATCAATGTTTTGTCTTACAGGGGAGATGAAATGAACTTGCAGACTGAAGAAACATTTGTCAACATTTTGCCTTTAAATCTTCAAAAAAAGACATGTATATATTCTGTATACAACAAACTTTAATTTGTACATAATAAAGAGTCCATATTAATGACTTGCTGTTGTTGGACTGTGCATGCTTTGTTTAGCTCTGCTTGGATTAGAATATGAATTGGTGTTTAAGTTTAAACATTGGTTGAAAAGCCTTGGTACCAACCAAGGTAAATGTAAAAATGTCAATTACACTGGTGTAAATATTTGTCTTGTTATGTTTGTTGTACTGTAAATCTTTTATTTGGAAATAAAATGAAGCAGAAACTGACTCAATCCTGAACTGTATTGTCCTCAGTGTTGTTTGTCTCTATACGTCATTAAAAATTCAACAAAGACTCAGACAGGACTTTGGCCGGCAGCTGCTCACGGTCTGCAATAAACAGAATACTCCTAAAATAGCATCCACTAGCACGGAATTTAATGTTTGAATTTCTTCCGCAGACCGGATGACAATACATACAGAGACAAAGTCATAAATACATCATCACATCAGGGACTCGCTAGCAGTCGTAAAGATTTAGGGGCCAGAAATCAGAAGGAAGAGATTTAGCATGAATAGGTTAGTTAGTTTTCAACTTCTTACTCAGTAAAATTGAGTAATAAATGAATTAATAGCAATTTTACGAGGAATTTAACGAGTTCACTACAGTAGCTGTTATAGGAACTGTTGTAAAGCTTTACTACTTCCTTTTCCTTTCATAAGAACGATGAGCCGTGTGACTCCCTGCTGTTTCTGCATCCGTTTCCCCCCCTCAATCCTCCCTATGAACGATTGGCTTACCTGCTGAAACCCAGAGCATTTTAACAACAGTTACATTTTGTCATCATGTCAAATTCTATACGTTCTTTGATTACTTTTTTTTTGACATACCATACTATGACTTTTTTTCTTTTTCTATATTTTAGGAATATGAAACGTCTTGACTAATTGACCCAGTGCCTAAAAAAAAAAAAGTAGATTGTTAAAACTACACTTGACATGTACTGTAGGGAACACATCTTTGAATTTTCCTTCTTCTTTGAATTTCAAAATTATATAAATACTCTTTTGAAAATTCAGCTGTGTTCTTATTGAAAGTCAATCATTTATTTTCAATAATTGTCCTACTCAAAGCTGGATGATTAGGACAAACCTATTTTAATAGAATTTCAGAGGTTTTGTTATTTAATAGGAATATATCGTTGAAAATGTATATATTTTCCATTGAAAAGTCACATTTTTTAAATAGCTTTCATGTCATTTGAACAAGTGACTCCAAATCAATGCATCACATCGCTGGACAGGTTAGACAAACCATTTTAATTGAATTTGATTCTTTTTTTTCTTCATTTTGAACAAATATTTTACACACTATGAAATGTGATGACTCATTTCTATACTTTCTTTCGATATGAAATGTGATTAGAATGGAGGTTGTGAATACATTGACAAAAAAAAAACATGTATACATTTTAAATAACAGAATCTATAACTTTCATGAAGCGATTCATTTGCAATTGTTATATTTAAAAATCGTTATTGAATTGTGTTACTCATAAGGCATTTCATAATTCCTTGCTGTTCTCTTTCTGGCAAGCTTAAATCGCCCAGTGAGGCTGACTGCGCTGATGGATGAGAGTGTTACAGGTGAGTCAGTCTGCCTCTTGTTCTCAGGAAATCCTTTGTTTAACAAGTATGTTTCCATGTATAGATCTGAACACACACGCAGGCACAGTGACTACGTGAAATGGGTCCAGGGTGGACCCGACTGTACTCGACATTGCTACGTCAACCTCACTTATCAGGACCGCCATTAATCATAACTACAGGAAGCTGACAGACAGAAAGCTTACAGTACCGCTGCTGAGTGGGCTGTGAACCAGGTCATGACATAAACATTTCCACCATAAGAAAAGAGTGGAATGAGTGATTAGCATCAATACAAATGTTGTCCATTTATTTAACTCACTTCAGTTGCATTATATAATTAACCAATTTACACTGTCATTTTTTACTTTTGCCTGTGGTCTGCCTATCCACCATTGGTCCAGACTGAAATATCCCAACAACTATTACAAGGAATTATATGTAATGGTGGTTTTAAGTTAAAGGTTTTAACAACTAATGCATGAAATTTGTTACAAACATGAATCCTAATCACTCTTCTGATTTCTCCTTTAGCGCCATCCAGTATCCAGTAAAGAATATTAACATGTATTAGATGAAATGTAGCCAAATCTGGCTGTTAAATCTTACTCTAGGTATGTTTTCATTTGAATTATCTTAATTCTTTTAATTATGTGTTTTTACATTGCTTTGTGTTTATATTTTCTTCCCTCAACATCTTTTTACATATGGTAAGCCAAATGGCTGCTTGTGTTAAGATGATTCTTACATGCTGATGTTAAGCAGGTTTAATATTTATATCCATATGTTAACTTAATTAACTGTGTTTTGTTAGGCAATTAACATTTTCTGAGTAGCTCTATACACAAAGTAGAGTTGAGGCGGGTCCTTATTGTCGGAGTGTCATTAGGTTTGTAGTATTGGACGGTTATCATCATCCGTAGTAAATATAATGGCAACCCGTTCAATACTTAAAAATCATAAATTTGACTCACCAAAGCCTTTAGGAGACATCCTCTGGGGACCATGACTGTTAAAAAAAACTTCCTGGCAGTCCATATAATATTGTTAATACATTTCAAAACTTAAAGTTGTAGACCAATCGCAATCATTTTCTGAAAATAAGGTATCAAAATAAGTATTGTTTTGGTATGGAAATACAGTAGAAACCCAAGGTATTGGTAAACACATTTTTTCACATCTGTGGTAAAGAAATGTCACACAGGCACGACTTCAAAGACAAACCAGGCTCCACAATTTACTGCCTCTAATTTGTACGACAGCAAGTCCTGCTTTTAGCTTCACCTCCCCCGGTGTGGTGATTAATCAGGGTGAACATGAAAGAGGACCAAAAGGCTGACAGGACAGTGCGGAAAGACGAAAGGTCAGGTAGCCGAGACAAAGTGGAGAGAGACAAAAAAGTAGCGAGACGGGCAGCCATGCTGAAGTACAGCAGGGCAACTGTCGTCAGAGAAGAAACCGCCTGGGGAAGAAGGGTGAGAAGTTCAACGAGGAAACATAAATATTTGATCGGGCTCAGATTGACAGGGGAACAAAGGGCACCAAAAGCATTGCCTCCAAAAACGTCCCCTTCCCACAGAGCAGAGAGGGGAGCGGGGTCACTCCAACCCAACTGCTGTATACATTATGATGTGCTTTATGTAGGATTTAGACCTCACCAATTCAATCAGTTGTTACACTACATTTGTCAAAATTCTGAAATGAATGCAGGTTTAAAGATAATCACCGCTTATGTATTTATTATGAGATTTTTTCTGTTTCTATTTTTGATTTATGAAATAAAATTTGATTTATTATTATCCCCCCACATCAAGACCCAATGTGACATGTGTTTATTTTGTATGAAATAACTGCTGTCCAAATCTTAAATAGCCTTACTAATTTCTTTGAAAATGAAATAAACTTTAAAAAGTAAATAAATAACAAACAGTACATTTTAATTGTTAGAATGCCTCCCCCCACCCCACCCAAAAGAAAAATAAATGCATTGTCCTGCAGTTCAAGTAAACATCCACAGTTTGGGTCCATGACCTCTCACAGGTCTGCAGCGGGCTTGTTTTACTGTAAGAATCTTGGCTGTAATGTTGCGGCCCAAGAGCCCAATGTTCACCTATCAAAGGCTTTCAAGAACTAATTTTACATTATGACTCAAGACTTGCCAAACACTTGTCCAGCACATGGGGCCTCAGAGGCACCTGTCATCACGTTAAAACTATTTCAGTCTTTTGCAGAGCATTAACATAAAACAAAGATTTCTGTGTCTTGGGAGCAAAATGACCCTGCAGCCAAGAACGCAAATTTGACTCTTAAAACTTTTACTTTGTCTCAAAGCCTGGCAAAATGCCGCTGCTCTTTTTATCTTGCTTTCTTTACTGTTACTCTGGGACTAGGCAAGAATGCAGCCTTCCTCTCTGAGCAGGCTCATACTTCATGTTTTCGCTGACACTCATCTGCTCATTTTCCAATGCAGAAGTCTTTGAAGATGATATCTAGGATCTCCTCTGCCCCGACACGTCCAGTGATCCGGCCCAGGCTGGTGAGAGCCAGACGGACACCTTCGGCTGCTAGAGCCAGGTCCAGGTCCAGGTCCCGGTACCGCTGGTACTGAGCCATGGCCGCAAAACACTGCTGCAGGTGGGCCCTGTGGCGGGCCTGGGTCAAGGTGGGGGCACCAGACAGAGGGTCGCCACACCTACAGAGGAAGTCAGAATCAAAATGATACTTATTTTTTTGTATTTCAGAAAGGAAGTAAACCATTTGCAGCACAGATATTCCGCATTTTTTGACTTGTCTGACTGAATATCTGACAAGAGTCTAGGGACCCTTGTGGTAGTTTCAAGATACACCGCAGCTGAAGCAGTTTAAACCTATATTCTTCACAAAACTGGTTGTTGCTCGCTATTAAACCTTTAAAACTGTAAACAATCAATGCTTAAAACATACAAACTGTGCAAAACACATGTGAGTTAGATGCACAACTGGACAAAAGTAATTTGAGGTTAAATAAAGATAGTTTTGGAAGCTTGTCAAAATCAATAACATGTACAAGTTCTGTACAATACAGTACATTTTGATATGCATAAATGAATCACAACAAAAATTAAGATAAAACAATATTAAAACGAGACATCCTGACTTTGCTCTGCCAACATATTATAAATTGAAGCTACTCACAGAGTTTTAACACTGCTGTGCAGCACTGTGAGGAAGTCGTGCAGTCCTTCCTTAGTGTGGCAGGAGATCAGACAGACAGGAGGGAATCCAGAGACTCTTCTCAGCTCCCTGTCGAGCTCCAGCCTCTGATCCTCAGGCAGCAGGTCCATTTTGTTCAGCACCAGGAGAAACCTGTCTGCAGGTAACACTGTGGCAAGAAAGGAAGGAAGAAAAAATGTTGATCAATCACCATTGACTCAATTTTTACTGTATAGGCATAGAGACTTATATTTGATCACTCTTGATGACACAAAACTCTCCTTCCAGCCCGTACTCCCTGGAATACTGTAAGTAGTCCTTGAATCAACCGCTAGTATCATTTAATAATGCAAGATGGACCTGTTAGCGAGCAACTTGTGTCACAATACATTACATTCTGTACAATACTAATTTGAAGAGCAAACACCCTATGATGTTTGATGGGGAACATTTGTGTTCCAGATATCTTACCCGTCTCAGGCTGCTCCTGGGGGTTTAGGACACTCCTGAGGTGCTCCTGGAGGAAGGCTGCAGCCTGCTGGGCATCAGAGGGGAGATCAGCACAGTCCGCTACCACCAGCGTCAGATCGGCCTGCTCCACTCTGGTGGAAAGAAAGCAACCTCAACATTTGACCTGGAAACATTACTAGTAACTGCACTTTTCCAGAGACTGAAATGGTAAGATAAGATATTAGACCAAATAACTTAAATACTTATTACTGTCTATATGATGACACACTTGTTGTGTATATGAACTTTTCTTATATATGATTAGTAACAGTTTCCTAAAGTCTAAAGTCGACCACATGGTAAATTAACTTTTTTATTGACTAAATGGACTTGGAAATGGATTTTAAATAGTGCTTTATCCAGTCTTTACGACTCCTTAAAGCGCTTTAACATAAACAGCCTTCACCCATTTACACACATTCATACAGAGGCAGGGACGAGCATGTAAGGTGCGAGCTGCTCAAGGAAGCTAACCAGCGTTGGCCATGCCATCAGGAGCAACTCGGGGATAGGGTGGATGTGGCTCAGTGGTTTAGTGCGCTGATCTTCGGAGCACTGGTTCAATTCCCCCTGCAGTCAGCATGCCGTTGTGTCCCTGGGCAAGACACTTCACCCCAAATCGCTCCTGTGGGGATTGCCCACAGTATTGAGTGTAAGTAAGTCACTTTGGGTAAAAGTCATGTAATGTAAAAAGTGTCTTGCCCGAGGATACATCAACATGTTGACTGCAGGGTCTGGGATCGAACCCGTAACCCTCTGATTGGAAGAAGACTGCACTGCCTCATTGTGGAATACTTGTATATAATATACTAATGAGCCTATCCATGCAGCTGCAGCTCAGGGTTGTACGCAGCTGACACGTCAGAGCAGAGGCATGTTGTTCTGTTTCAGAGAACATTACAGTATGTCCCACGAAGACTGTGATTTGGCAGTTTTGTTTAATAAAACATTTGTAATGGTATTCGGTTGACCCTCCTGCACTTGGTCCCACTGTGAGGTCAGCAGCACCAGCGGATGCTGTTCTTACCCCTTCCTTCCTGTAGTGACCCAGGTCCCGAGCCTCTGACCTGCTCCTTACACCAGAAGTTCCCCGTAGAACACAAACTGCCCACCCTTCCTACCGAGCCACCAGCTCGCCCAAATAACTTAAACAAACAGTCAAGTGATTACGCAATATTTGACCTGAAAATTGTAGTTATGCAGTCACATCAGAATTTTCTTTGGATATGAGTCCCCAAACAATCTTTGGATTTGGAAAATACATTATTTGATGGAATGTTTAAGAGTATTTCCTTATGTTGAAATGGTGTGGCAAATCACATTAAAATTAGCAACATACTTAATTGATATTCGTCACATGAGGTGATATGACATCTTATTGATATATTGTTCATCCTGCCAAGAACACAAGTACATTGGAAACTATTTCACATTTGTCTTTTTTTTGGTATTGCCATATTTTATTCTGAATATTTGCTTTCTATAGTTCTTTATATTTAAATCAACTGTCAGGAGGGACAGCAACACGCTGTATTGTTGTAATACAAACAAGTATTTAAAGCAATGCTTTTTCTAATTTAGGTTATACAGAATCTCGAAACTTTACTTTTAAATATTAATTCATTGATAAATAATGTGGGAGTGTGTTGTAACACGCCTTTTCCTCTTGCTCTTTGACACCAAAATCATACTATAAAGTCTGTGAATAAAAGCTGAATTATTCATCTTTTTTTGTGGCAGTGTTCACGTTTGTGTACGTGTCTGTTTGCGTGTTTGTATTTGATGAAGCAGTGATGACGAGTGTTATAAGTACTGGTGTAAACAGTGGAAGCGGCCGTTAGTAAAATGCCATATATGTTCAATCTCTACACCGTGCATAAAGAACCTTTTGATTGTGAATACTCCTAGAAAAGGAAAGGAGCCTCTTCATTACGCAACCTCCTGAGAGTGTTTTTCCTATGTATTTATATCTGTGGCTCTGCAATAATATAAACTATGGATGTGACAAATGTAGACAAAAGGTACACATTATGAAAATATAGCATGATGTACAGAGGAAAAGCAATGACTTATTTCTTCCTCTCTTTGTTTTCAAGGACATATTCCATTGGTCCTCAGGCCAATCTTGATTGAGTATTATACAAACATGAGCAGTTGCTGAAGCAGCAATCTACTGTACGATTACACCCGACATACTCTGAGTTAAATTACTTTTTGAGATATTTAAAATAAAAAGGCTTTGTCCTCTAACTGCTCCTAGTACTAGGATGGGTTCAAAGCAGAGAACACATTTCACTGTGTGTGCTGTGTGCTCTGCATGTGTGACCATTAAAGAGGGTTTCATCCCTCCAATTATATTCTATATACCTCTCCCGAGCTCGGCGGACCCCCTCCCTCTCCACCAGGTCGGGGCTCTCCCTGAGGCCGGCGGTGTCACTCAAGAGGACCGGGAATCCCCCGATGTCCAGGGCCGTCTCCACTATGTCCCTGGTGGTGCCAGCGATGGGAGACACAATTGCTGCAGGTCTCTGGCCTGGACAAAAGAAGATTAAAGGATAAGGTTGGCAATGTGATATATTTATCATATTGTCAACAAATCCCATGAAAAAACACCAAAAATAACAATGTGATTATCAAAACTGTCTGATTTCCTAACAACCCCAAGTCCATTTTTTGATGCTAAAAAATTATAAATAATTCCCTTAAACAGGTGGCCACTGTCGCCACTTACTGTATAATCAATATTTAATCTGGAGTATATAATGGTTGGCTTTTTGCCCATGTATTGTTCATTTTGGTCATTTTGTGAGGTTTTTTGACAAATCTCTATCTATATAGTCTATTCACAAGTTCTGTGCAAACAAGAATATATGTTGTCATCCTTTCTTTATTCGTCATTCAAGAACTTGGCTAGCATCAGCCACGTGTAATTACGCTGCCAGCTCATCAATATATGTCTGTGCTGACTGGGTGTAAGTCTAGGTCACAGGAAGACTAATAAGAAGAGGAAATGATAACAGGAATTTATCTGAAGTTTGATAAATACGTCTATTATTCTGGTAGAAAGCTGTGAGGAGACCCTGCCAAGCCCCCTCTCTGGATAGTGTATGTTAAGTGATTTAAAATGATTTAAGGATACAATATCATAAACAAACATAACCTTAGACTATAAACAAGGGGCTCATTAGGTTGAAAACAAATGAGGATAAACAACCAAAGACCTGATTTAGAATGAGAAAACTGACATACTACTAATTACGTTTGCTTTTATATTATTTTTCATATTCCTTTATGAGCATTGCAACACAATCTGTTGCAATTGAAAGCAGACTTTAACTGATAACGCATGACGCACGGCCAGAATTTAATTCAGAAGCAATTAAATCTGTTTTCCGAAAAGTCATACTGTAATTCATTTTGCAAAGAGCAAGGTCCACTGTTCACAGATGGTGTGGTCTAGTGATTAAATAACATTTGTGAACTATGAAGACATAATTGTAATATGCACCACAAATTGGACCTACTTTGACCTTGCTGTCACACCACACCATTCACTAGTAGTTAGGTGATTGGGGTTTTATTATACAATAGATATTGATGCATCTCATTACTTCCTGTGCATGGAGCTCAGTATTTGTATATTTTTAAAAGTAAGTCCACGCTGCTTATGGTATGACAGATGTTGCCTTCTTGCCCTCTCAAATCATGGTTGACCGCAGTGTGATTCATAAGTTAGGTTAGTATTTCTAAGATGGTGAGATATATGTAATGGTAATCCAACCACAAGTTGTGTTTGTGTGTGTGTGTGCACTGATTTTCTTACAGAGTGTGTTCAGAAGGCTACTTTTCCCTGCATTGGTGGCTCCTGCGATGACCACCTGGACTCCGCTGCGTAACCGCTCGCCCCTCCTCTCGTCCTTTAGGTGGCGCTCCATCTCTGCCTGCAGATCACACACCCATTGGTCCACTGTGGAGTTGACAGTGAGATAAAAACAAATGAGGGAACAGCCAGTGACGAAGGCTTCTCTACAATTTCACTTTCATGGCCTTGTGGTGAGAACTTCTGTCCTTTGAAGGAAAAAAGGCTGTCCGGTGTCTGACACCGTTTGTCTGGACGATAAAAATGGGTCATGGACCGATCCCTTTCCGCCTGTGACTAAAGCGGAGAAATGCTTTTGACAAACCAATCTATCAACAACAGCTGCTCCTAAACAGGAACATCTAGACTGACCACACATTAATTCATCCAACTTGGCATTATTTAAATAAAACATAAAAAAACATCAGATATAACATTACATGGGAGAGTGTTTTCTATGTTTTCTATTTTTGGGGAAAGAGTCTATTATTATTATAGTAATTTTTTCTAGGCGTGAGCCCACATTCCTTTCCTCCAGAATAAACAATCATTCCCAGGCTTTATTGTGTCGTAACTTCACAACATCTGAGGCTTCTGAAGAGCCCTGTCAGTGCCAGACGGCAGGCGACAGACTCAGGGGGAACATCCCTTCTGCGCACACACGCACACACACACACACACACACACACACACACACACACACACACACACACACACACACACACACACACACACACACACACACACACACACACACACACACACACACACACACACACACACACACACACACACACACACACACACACACACACACACACACACACACACACACACACACACACACACACACACACACACACACACACACAATAAGCATGGGAAACCTGGGCACAGAGAGAACAGTACGTTGCTGTCTGCATTATTCCTGTGAGCAACATGTCAGGTTAGCTTTGAAGGCAAGACTAATGCCTCTACTGTCCCCCCTGGCCTTCTCTCCACACTTCCTCAAAGGAAATCGTCTTCTAAACAGTTTGATGTCTATGGCTTCTCCCCACAGTGCAGCAAACACACACGATGGCCAGCTAAAGATCCAAACAGGAAAGCCAGTCAAACTCCAATCTCCTTAGAGAGAAACAGAGCCCTAAAAGCCTAAGGAAATGATTGTTCTGTCATGTTTGTCCAGTAAAGAGCACACAGTGTACACATACCTTGGTTTAAGACCCCATCCTCAATTAGCTCGTCTTCACTGAAGTCTATGAAGGCCTCAACGTGAGCCAGACACTGGGTGACACACAAAGCAGACAAGAGAGAGAGGAAGAGGATTGAATCAGATTATAGAATTAACACATTCAACTCTAAAACAGTTATATTATTATTTTCATACTTTAACTGCATGTTGAAATGTTGAAGCAGAGAAAATGTGAGTGACAGGTAACAGGCAGTACAGTTAATCAGCAGTAGGCAGCAGCTCCCACCCAGGCTCTTAATGCAGAGCTGTTCACTGCTATCAAGGTTGGTTAAATGCAAAGTCTAAATTTCACTGTGTGTTCTGTGTACATTCATGACAATGAAAAGTTGATTCGATTAATCCTGCTGGTGCCACAGCTCACATCTACTCCTGGGGCACCTGTGATACAAGGACAGTGATGAAGAAAAGCTACTTTGATTAGGGTATCGTTACATCTAACAATTATGTTCAATAATGGTTGACCTTTTGTCAATTTCTTTTGATTATTGTTTAATTATTCATTCATTACAATTTGTAAAAAATGGCAACCATTTATATCCCAGAATCCTAGGTGACAATAGACCTAAATGCAAAGTGCTCCCATACATTCATACTGTGCATGTAAACAAACATTTGAAATTCCTTCAAAATACTAAGAATACAAACAAGGGAAAGTTACAGTTTTTCCTCCACAGCACAGATCACTATCTTGATTGACATGCGGAACCTAAAGACAATAGCAGTATAGCTGCACAAAAACAGGAAGCATCATATTCCCATACTTTAATCCATTTAAAAAGTGGGAAGCCAACAGTTTAAAAAAAACGGCATTGTTTGGGGGGTTTGACCCCGCACCCCACAGATGGTATAAGTCTCATTACCAAGATTCCCAGAAATGTGAGCCCAAAATACAGGGACGTTCAAATAGCTTTTAGGGAACATCCTGAGATAAGGAACTTTACAGAGTTTCTCAAGGGAGACCACCTGGACCGGTTATTCAGATCTGGTGCCAAATCGTTGAAAGATCCCTGGTCTGATTCTTCTAAACAGTTCACACAAGAAAGAGGGTTTGGCCTGCATCCACTGTGTTGAAATGTTCATCAGCAGTCAGTGACCTGCTGCTCTGAACCGCCTCAAAGGACGTATGAGGAAAACTGATACTCTGATTAGAAGTAAACAAGACAGACATAAGAACATATATGCCACATTATCAGGGGAACAGGCTTTTTGGAAAAAACAACAATACAAGTGTTGTTACAAACAAGTAAAGAGGTCTAAGGTTAATTTAGACGACTGCAAAGCAAAAATGTTGCTATATTCTCCCACAGAAAAGTGAAGTTTCAACTGCACGAAGTTTCTTAACTTTTTGGAAAGTTGGCTCGAATATAAATTGGTGTATGGCAACCATGTGTAGTAGTGGGACTCACAAAACACTTTACTGACACATCACTTACCTACTCACTAACATTGTACTAAAAATCCCCAAAACATAAACCTAGGTACAAAAAAAAAACTGAATATTGTTAGGTACATTTAAAGATTTATGAATAGGATTCATTTAAATGTGTGCTGAACACCTCTAACCATGTCTTCATATCTGATTAAAATAAGCTGTATAGATTATTCACCATCAGCTAGGTCACTAACCCCTAATGTGAATTGTACATCCACCTTCATTTCTCCACTCTAATCATACTGTAATTTATCTTAACTTCCAGACTGACTCAGCCTTCTGACCCTTATCTATACAAACAGTATACACTTCAGGATACTGTATTGATAAGAAACACAATACTGCTGCTCAGAATATATAAATGTTTGGATTGTGTGCCTGTCCTAAAACACACAGCTGCTTTGTCTGGAATAATTCATCTTTAATCCATCCAAAACAAAACCAGTTATCCTGCAATGGAAACTACAGGAAATGGGTGGCACTTAAGGGAAGATGGATCTGCACCATATCACAATAAATAAGATTCTTTGAAAAGTTTCGTTCTTAGAAAGTCAACATTGAAAAGTAGGTATCTGGACTTGAACTCTTATTAGTGGCTTTCGACGGGAAACAACGTAATGAGATCTGACTCAGTTCTGGTGCCAAAACAGAGCGGAGGACTTGATCCCTTCAGGCCCTTTGGCCATCATAAAGTAAGAATAACAATAACAACGGAATATGAGTTGTGTTTATACATTGGGGAATGGATCCTTCAGTAGACTATTCCTACTTTTCTGTTAATCAGATATTATGGTCTTAGAAAAACGAAATATACTTTTCTTAGGTTTGCTAAGAAGGGTGATGGATATTATAGTATTATTATTAATTTTATTACAATTTCAACTGATTTCCTTATTACATAGAGTAATGTTCTTTACACATTATACTTTAATATTATTATCTTTTCTGTTTCTTAAATGTTTTACTAATAAATATCATTAATTGCTATACCTGCTTAAACATTAATTGCTTTTCTTGCATAAAAAAAGTGTAAATTATTAAGCAATGTGTTATCTTAACTCCACGGATTGCTTCCCCCTCCCTGAAGTTACACGTAACCCAATCCATCCTATTTAATTAATTCACATATTTTTCCTGTTTATTCGCAATCCTGTTTTCAATGAAAAATACATTTATACATGTGCTAGTACAAATAGTGCTTTTGGTTTCCAGCAACATGGAAACAGGAAGAGTGAGAGCCCAATGAATGAATCCATCAACACTGTTGGAAAAGCAGCTGTTTGGGTGTGTAACTACTGAGGCCTGACCTGCAGCACGGTACACAGGTTCTTTCCTCTAAACTGTTTTGAAATAAATGTAAGACATGTAGATGGACAAAATCTCTCCAGGGAGAACTCCAGCGGCTTGTTCCTGCTACCAAAACGTCTCAGCATTGGATACAACAACAGAATGTCCAAAGAGGCTATGTTCATTTGTCATTTAAAAACAAGGTACTGTTGGGTTTGAGTCAACATGAAGCACAGCACATAAGCACAGCACATCAAGTCAACATTCAGGCCAAGAGACAAAAATAAAGCACTTGGTGTGAGAAACAGAGATTTTAAGACTTTTCCAACATCCAAACTGATCTTTCTTTCGAAAATGGAGGGTATGGTTTCTGTAGTAAAGATGAATTCAGTTCATATAACACTCCAAGCATCAAGAAATCTATATTTTTGTTTTAAACAGTATGTAATAGGAAGAAAACCTTAACTTCAGGCCTTGTAGAATGGGAGACTAGATGAATCCAAAGTGTTACAATATTGTTCAAGTCGGATTAAAAGCAAACTGCAACTGCAGTTACTGCCACAAAGGCTACACCTACACCCTCAAGCCCAGAGATCCAGACATGTTGCACACCACCCTGCCTCAGTGGGATGTTGGAAACCACTGTCTAACCCACCACCGTTGTCCATCGGACCACCTACCCGTTTCAGTCTGTGGGTCCAGTCCTGATAGAGGTGTCCCAGCTCTCCTGACATCTGCCTCAGAGCCTGTCGTCTCTGAGCCTCCGTCTCAGCATGGATCAGATCTCCGAGCCCCTCCACCTGCACACAGCATTATAATAGTTATAACTGCTATACATTTTTCATTTATCTATAGCACGACTGTTTTAATTCTGACTAACTGTGAGAATTAGGAACGTTTCCATTACTTATTTTGAAGGAAGAGATTAATTTGATTATATAAGTCGGTCTTTTTATTAAAGGGGACCTATCATGCAAAATGCACTTTTGTACGTCTTTTATACATGAATATGTGTCCCCGGTGTTCCAGGGAACTCACCAAGTGTCAGAAAACACAACCCTCTCTATTTTCCTCCATACCCAAATCTCTAAAAAAAGGGGCTGCAAAGGATCTGATAAAAACTGATCCAGATTTGAACACTGTCCTCACGTCAGGACAGTGGCGCTACGGCTATTGGGCCAACTCCACCAATCAGGAGGAGACAGCCACGGCCATTGCCGTTCGAAAGCGCTGGAGACGCTGTAGTACATATGCCAGGCCTGTAGGTGGTGCTGTTCTCACAGAATCAGCCCTTGCAAAAACAGGGCTTAAAAAAGTGCAAATTGAGCAAAATGAGGCATGGCTAAAATGCATGATCTGTTTGGTATTTTGAAAAAAAAAAAGTATAAATATGCCTTATATAGGTATGGTCCTACACTATATTATTAAAATATAGCATGATAGGTCCACTTTAAATCAACTTTACAGTCTTGACTAGAACTTGTAATTGTTAACTTTCTGTGCGGCAAGCACATCATTTTTTGACTACAGTACAATTGTTGAAAGGCCTGTGTCAATAAATATAGATTGAATAAATAATAAACTGTATTAAAAAGCTAAAAAGTGTAAACATATCGTCCAGAACAGCACTCTATCAATGCTCACAGTATAGCTGTATACTTAGAGAATAGAACATCACCATCTACAGAATCCATTATTAGATAGCCAATTGAAAAACTGAATATTTTCATTGTTGATATGCTTACACTTGAAATCCCTGTTCATTGTTTACCCTCTTTCTTCCACATTTACCTTTTAAAATACTCTGAAAGGCTCTTGGTATGCCATCTGCAGAGACCTGTCTCTTTGTTTTTACATTCTCTTCTTGACCTACCTCTGTTAAATCCAGTTTCCCTGCTTGAAAGGCCCTCCGTGTGAACTCTCCAGCTTCAGCAGGCCTCATGCCAGGCACGCTTCCTGAGAAACACACACACACACACGCACACAAACACACAAACAAACACAAACACACACAGAAAACAAACATGGAGAAATGCATGAGGCACGGGTCGGGCATGCATGATGCACACAACACGCACACATGCCCAAACAGGGGGGGATTAACCGCAGGGTCTATGTGTCATTCAGGGTTCACTTGGAATGAAAACAGGCACAACTGTGCAGGTTAAAAAGGTTACGTTTTCATTGTTTTCACAACCATTGTTCCAACCTCATCAGGAGGAGACTGCGTAGAACACAAATCATTTGGTAAAATCAAGGTCATCATGACCAACATTGTCACTACCTTTTTTTTTTTTAATGGTTATGATATCAACGTCAAGTAAAACACTAATGTATTCCTGATAATTGAACATCTTGCAAGGTAAAAATATTTCATTTAAATGTCTAATTTATACAATACTGCCACCTTAAAGGCCATTTGGAGAACTGCAGTAAAATATTACTTTTCAGTCATAGAGGGATTGTCACGCTTGTCAAGACACATATTATAAGTATCTTAGAAATAGGAAAGCATGCTTCAGTTTTCCCTTTTAAGTCAAAGTGATGGACAGTCACATGAGTCAACTAGTTATTGGGTTAAGACTTCTTATAAAACTCACAGCTTGGAAAGTCAGGACTGTGAGGACAACCATACCTTTTACACATTGCTAAGAAACAGTGCATCATATGGCACTGTACGTGTTGTAAAGCATTATATGAAGTTGAATAATATTATGTTATACTCATAAGGGTTACCTAGAGCCTGTAGGACAGCAGTAATCACAGCAGGGCCGCCATGGATGTGGAACTCCACACTGTCCTCTCCTGTAAAACTGTGAGGACCTGATGACATAAAAAGAGGGAGAAAACAACACAGTCTTTGGTCATTTAAAAAAACAAGATGAGCAAATGTTATGAACACTTTCTTTAAACTCGGGCTGCTACAAGTGGGTGATATGACTGATATTCCAAGACTCAATACTGCTCTGAGGTTATAACAAGGGATCGGACTTGACATCAATACTTAGCAATCAAGCTGGTCTGTCATCACTTTGCACCAAAAGATACTTCATTCAATACAAGACAGACAAAAGATCTCACAAATATTTTTAATTGACCAGTCAGTCACACAGTGCTGTTGAAAATAATTACAATAATATTTTGCCCATTTTTAAGTCATTATTTATATTTTTACATTACTGTTACATTTAGAGTGGTATAAAAAGACCAATGCATTAGCATTACCATACATTGTACTGTATTATATTTATTTGATGGGAAAGCAATCCATGGTGTGTAAAGTAGACTATATCCAAAATACAAATAGCAGAAATGTAGTTAAAAGTAATTAAATGTGCGTTTTATCGAGGGGAACATACCTGGGAACCAGAAGACAAGTCCACGGTCCAGAACTTCTTTTGATATGGGGTCTCTGATGCTGCGTAACAGAGCGGTGCGTGGAGGAGGAGGGCTGTGTGAGACCCCCGCCATACATCTCAGAGCTGTGGCTGAGGCGGGACCACTGGCTCGAACCACAGCCACCCCACACCTGCCATGGCCCGATGATAAGGCAAAGATGCTCTCAGCATCTGCCAGTCCAAACGGGACTCCCTCGCAGGTGGATAAGAATCTGCAAGGTGGAGTTCCTCTGCTGTAGATAAGTAGATGGTACACACTGTACATTTAGATTAAAGAGTGTGGTCTAATCTGCTTTTTATGTCTAGACAGAAAGGTTTAGTTTGCATTATGTAGAGAAAAAAACGTGTATATTCTGAAGCCCAAAAACTGACATACTGTAACACAAAAGAATAATGTTTCAGACAAGTCAAAAACATTACTAAAATGTCGGTAGATAACATGCCAATTAAAAGTTTAAATGGACTGTAAAATAAATAAACAACTTTAAACTTGACAGCAAAAAACTGAATTAATAGACCAAAATATTCATTTGAAAATCTAAGGAGTTGAAGAATAATATGAGTTAATAAAATATAAATATAGAAGACCAACATTTATTATATCTGGATGCATTTAATCAAGAGGTAAAGGGAAAAATAAAAAGCATACTATCTTATTTACCAACGGATTTAAAGATGTGGAAAAAGTGTAATATGTGCTTTGAGTATAGATCTGATCTGAAAATCTATTGTTTTACTTAGGTTTTATATTCACTGGGCTGAGTGGGCTCTAGTGGGTACGGAATGAATTATATTTAAAGCAAATCATATATCAATATTTAAGGGAAAAACATATGCAGTATGTCAACTTCTGTAAAAGTGGCGAGAATACAAAAATGGAAGGTGAATTTTGGTAACAAACCTTATCCTTAGTGTGTGGACAGCAGCTCCCCATATCCCACGATAAATGGATGCAAGCATAACTTTAAGATGCTGATAATAAACGTTTCATGTGCTGTTTCATGAGGCTGGTTTAAGAATCTGACAGCATAACATGCTCTGTCCTTGACAAAATCATTGTGTTTACCTTTATGCTATTCACATAAAATGTCGGTGTATCCTGTAAATGTAACGTTAGCTGGTAAATGAAAACAATGCAATACATTTGCTGTGAAAGGCTCACTTACAAACTCTAACCTACAAACTCAACCGTTTACATTTACCACGATGAGTCTGTTGCGCCCTCTGTTGATTGTGATTGGTCGATGTTTTCCATAACATCAGCAGATTCTAAAGTCCTATTCGTTCAGCACCTGTCAATCTTCAATAAGCCCCGCCTACTGTGCGCCATTCAATTTGGTCCGTGTAGCTGCAGGTGCTCGTCAATGCACATTGCTAACAGTCCTACTGCTGTGTATCTGCTTGTGGAAAAGGGTGTTATTTGTTCATCTCAAACTTTCACAGTAATTGGCAAAGTTGAAGTATGTAGCTGTTTGGTATAATTTAATATACCTTTAAATACATATATTTTGACTATAAACAAAAAATGTGTGCAAATCCTAACGTATTATCATGAAGAGTTGTTTGGTAAGTCCCCTATTTATTTATTTTTATTGACTTGAAAAATTGTTTAATTTGTTCTTTTTATTTAAGCTTATCTTCACTCACTGACTCTGTGGTGTTTCTGACTTTTTCCACAACATGGTTTGATAACATTACATTGATAAGGTGAATTTATTATTACAAAAACACTTTCAGCACAGTCTCTGAAATGGCCATAAGAGACCCAGAGCCTTTTTAAAACTGTTTCAACAGAAACTCAACATTGTCACCTTTATGTTTTTGAAGGTAAGATTAATTGCAGGGCTGTTGTAATAGGTTGCATTAGTTTTCTAATAACTTAACTCATATTCTCTGTCATCGTATGCCATTTTCAGAGTCCATTATCAAACAGTGTTGCTGTGTATTGGATATAATCCGTGTTTGTGTTATGTACTAAAATCGTTGGTGTACATAAATTGTGTATATCACAGAATATAAACACAGAATAAAAGCTTTATGTGCGCTGTGTGTGTGTGTGTGTGTGTGTGTGTGTGTGTGTGTGTGTGTGTGTGTGTGTGTGTGTGTTTGTGTGTGTGTGCCACTGCAGGTCCTTGCAGCTGTCAGCTCCAGAGGGTGGTGAGTAAGCAGAATTTCTGCTCGAAGACGAGGTACTTCTGAGCTGTGAGCCATATGAGGGGGAGGGCTGCCTATCGGCCTGCATGCTCAAAACAGAGCATCCAGGAGGGCTGGCCAAGGAGATACATGTGTACACACCGAAAAGTCTTGATCTGAGGCACGGGGAGCATCTTTAAAGTGAGATCTCAATAATGTATAGGCTGCTCTATAGTGCACAAAGTATGACAGCTGCCACCCCATCTGTTTTGCAGGATCAATACAGTACAAACATCTCTGACCAAGAAAATAATGTAAATAGACCATGGATCTAAAGACACAATTTACTTCCACCTTCATTAAACATACACACAAACATGCAGTCTAACAACTCCTTTACTGGTCATACAACTGCACGCTGATGCCTTTAAGGAAAGAAAGATAGTGCCAGTACCAACTGATTGACTCCCTCAGTGTTTGGGTGTAGGCTTGCTTTGGAATAGGCTGACTATTGATTGCCAATTTTAGAAGACATCTGCAAGCAGACCTGGCAACACAACATGCTTTGTAAAATAGGATGTGATGCTTTCAATTAGCTTGAAGTTGATGCAATAAAAATAAACATGACATACAGCTGACACTAAAGTACTGAAGTGAAGAGATGTTACTTGTCCCTAGTGTTAGTTTATTCTATAAAGATATGTTTTGCATAAGTAAGTAATTGAATAAACTTACAGGACAGGGAAGTGCATTCACGGTAACAAAGGAGCAATAGTGTACTGCTGGACTGCAGAAACCACCTGCCTGAGGGACAGTATGTTGCTGAAAGAATGATTATGTTTAACTTAAAGGTGATACATCTCCAAAAATAACAGAAATGTGGTGATCAAATAAGAAATGTTATCCGCATCAGCATGCATTTTGTTTGTCTGAGTTGTGCCTTAATGAAGCCAAGCATATTCTATTTCTGGCACCAAATGAAAGTCTGGCTGCTGGCAGGGGTCACTAGGCGATACATATAAATGTCTCCTTGGAGACGGTAAGAATACATTGAATGAACATTATACAGAAGAAAAAAAAATGATTTGGTCACAGCAGCAGTGTTGTCAAGCATTACACATTTTAAAAGATACAATGAGATATGATAAAAAAATAAACATTTATATTAACAGCAAATGTAAACCTATCTCGCTCACGCAATCTGGGACAATATAGGCCTACATGAAATCATCAGGCTACCAAATTGTTTCAAGGTGTGTGTCACCCAGCCCCCTCCCCCCGCCCCCCTCTCTTTGTCCCTCCTCTAGTCGTCGGAGGAGCGCTCTCCATCTAGCCGCGCATCCTGCTCCAGAGTACCACCGGGATGACCGGCTGCTGCACCGACAACCTTCACTTCACTTTCACACTCCTTTAACCCTTCATTCGGACACCAACCGGCCGCCGCGCTACACCCATGCTTTGCCTTCCTCCTGAGATGCGATACCATTGTACAATTTCCCGGAGAATATCTTCCTCTTCCGTCGCTCCTCGCTGATAGAGAGCATGCCCGACGCGGGAACGGCGGCGTCAGGCGCTGCAGCCGCGGCGGCCGCCAGTGGTGCAGCCGCCGCGGGCGAAGGCACCGAGAGCTCCCGGCACCGACACCGAGCTCAGCAGGGAGAAGCGGAGAGGCCGGACCCGGGCGCTGCCCCGTCACAAAGCTCCTCCGGAGTGCTGGGTGAGTCCGGTGTGCGTGTTGCTTTGAATGATGCGGTTTTAGAAGCGCATAAAGGAAGAGAGGACAGGTGGACGTGATATTTGGAAACGAGACGAGCACCGCACCAACACCTCGAGGCACCGTTCTTTTGTCTCGGCGAGGGCGTCCCAAAATGACTACTTTATTGTACTGCAGGCCTATAAATACTGTCTTTAACTTGTTTTAGGAGAGACTTTTCAAATAAGCCATTGATATGTTATCTTCTCCTGATGAAAATGGCTACATGCTCGCACATCCTAGTGTCTGTTTTGACCTTATTCTAGGTTACCTCCTGTCATGTCAAGCCTTGTGCTTAAGTTATTTACCCACAGTATATGTAGGCTACTTAGGCTATTATTTGCAGCTAGTTGTTTTTTATTTATTGGATTTCTGATCAGTTATGTATAATCTGCCAGGTAACCAAAGGTTTATTAACTTAATGATGTCATCCAGGGATTTATAGTAGCCTGACTAGACCACCAATGTCTATTTCCACGTTATTGCCTCAGTGTCAGTTGCCATGCTATTGGATGGGGCAGGTGTAACCCTAACCCATGTTTTGACATTTTAATGAGGGTTCAGCCATACAAGCTAGAAGCTACCATTATTATAAGAATATTCCCAAAATGTGGTACCATTTATATGTTTGGTTGTGCTCTCCCTAAATTAGCTTACGTTATTTTTAGGAAGTCGTATTATACATTTAAAACAAAGCTTAACATATATAGCTTTCTGTTTACTTGACACTGATAGCGGATCTAAAGGCCAGATCATAACTATCTGGTTGCAAGAATTGTAAACAATGTTATTTTTGGAACAGAGCACAACATTAGCCTGGCTAGAGAGCCTCACTGCCCAGCCAGGGTGCAGAGCCTCCTCTGTGCGCCCAGCGAGTATACTGCTGCAGAGTGATGCAGTGTAGCAGTGGGCTGTCAGCCGATGAGCGCTGCTTTCCACACTTGGTAGAGGTAACCTGAGCTGCTGACTGGAGCAGCCCGATGCACCCAGCAGTGCCACTTCTGGTTCTTGAATGGGTTATATAGGGGTTGAAGGGTCAGAAATGTGATGATTAGTTCAATTTCACAGTTACCTCATTAGATTGAAGCAGTATTTGATGTAAAGAGGCTGACTAGTCTAAACAAGTAGAGACAAAAAGCAAACATCTGCTCATGTAAAAGTTAATAATGGTTCTTGAATCTGGCATCGGATGGCTTGTCATTTTGGTCATCTTGTCTACATTTTTTATCATGCTAATGCTCCTGATTTGAAATCAAAAGTTTGTGAACATTATGAGAAATGTTAAATTATATTCAAACCTACAGAGACTGTGCTTGAGCCCACTAAGCACTAAGGAGTATTATGTCCACAAGAGAGGGAATCAATTCCCCCTGAAAAATAAAGGAATTTGTACTGTGTTAAAGAACAACAGTGGAAACAACCTCTGTTATAGTGGCTTATTACAAAAAAGACCAATGCACTTTGACTGCAGGGTCTAACAATCAAACACAAGTGAATAGTGTAATGCATACGCTTCAAACACTCATGTGAACATTTTTACAGCTACCTGCTGCTCCCTTATTACACCTGTAATCATGCCATGAATAAGCGCTAATAGCTCACAGATAACATTGTGAATACAAATAGGTTTTCAGTACAGAACTAATGCAAATAACAAAACAAGAACTTATATTTAATATATATATAACAGGATTAACAAAATGATGTAACCCACTTTGGGAACACCTTTCTTGTTTGGTGGACAGAATGTTCCTTCCAGTTCAGTAGAACCACCTGCTTTGTGTTAAATACTGTCAAATACAACTAAAGCCTCCACTCGTTTTGTTTTGTTTTTGGGGAATATTATATCTGACCATGAAATCATAAATGACAGCTTTAGGGAGGGTTAAATGTATAAACAATACTGACATGAATCTCAGACAATGCAAAAAATACTCGCAATAGATCACAATAAATCACAGTTTGCTGTTGATAAGTATCAAAGGTTGGATGTTAATCAGAAATGTTGACTTTCTTACCATCTTAAAACCTCTTGCCCCCACTTTCCTGTATCGCCTCGCATGGGTCATGAGGCTGATGGAATGGGTTATGGGTCTGCAGTGGGATTACCATGATATCACATAACCGCCCTCACACGTGTCTGTGTCAGTCAGCTAGCACAGCGGCAAGTCAGGCTGATTTCTCCAGTTGAGATTTCGGTTTCTGCCTGGAAGGATTTTCCTCACTGGAGGCTTGGATGCTCGATTGTCTCCATGCCCCCACCACATTTTCCTAATCCCTCCTCAGTAGACTGGAATGACTTTGATCCTGTCAGCCATCTCCC